TGGTGCTTGTATACTTTTTATATATGAATAAATGAGAGAGAGAGAGAGAGACATAAATTAAAAGAAACAAGAAAAAAAATGAATAAACATCCCAACTAATGGTTTCAGAGGTTATCATGCCAATGCCAAGTTCCAAATGTATCACAGGACATCAGAGATTAGAATACTGAATAAGAATGGTTGTTTCACTACACAAAGAACAGCAAGAGACATTCTCTCCACCAGCATCCTGTATAGTTTATCATAGTTCTCATGTTCTGTACCTTACCTGAAACCATATGTAAAAACCTATAGTTAGCTATTTTTATAACTGTTATTAATAATGCTGTCCTGTATTTCATACTACACAGAGTAATGTTATTACAGTTCTCAGACAACGTACAGTATAAAATCTTATCTTAAAGACTTACTCTTGCAGTTGCAGGAAACCTCTGTAAATTAAAATGATGAGAGGGTTTTGTGGACCCTATACATGCTGCTGCAGGGCACTGCTCTGTATAACAGTCTGGAAAAATAGGCTGGGTCTTCTTCTTTCTCACTCTCTTCCTAATGTAGCAGACCTGGGAAAATATAACAATAAGCGTGGCTGCTTTTATCTTTATTCAATAGTCTTGCCAAATAGCAGGAGAAATTTTATTTCAGTAGTGTAGGAAAAGAAACATTAATACAGTGGCACAGAAAACAGTATCAGAAAGATCCAGTTCCACAGTTTATCTCCTTCCCAGCATGGCCAATTTATGAAATCTAGAAATTCACTTAGCCAGATATCATAGTAATATCCTTCAAAAACGATTTGAATTGACATAAGTCCTGCAAGCAAATTACAGCAGATTTTTATTGTTCTTTTTTACTGCCTTACTCTGCATCAAAACCAGCACAGGACAGGCTTGTAATTATTTTCAGCCATCCTTAAGTACAATTTTATCATACAAAGGTTAAAATGTATAATACAAGTTTCATTTGTGCCTTCTTTGATTATTTGTGAAAACTGAGCTGAGACCATGGAGGGGTCTGGAGATTGGTCATGTGTGAAACTAACAATCCCAGATCTTCCTTCTTGTTCTTTAGCCTAGCAAACAGATCCTGTGCCTGGATCTGAGAAGCACTGTATTCCTTTTCTTATAATACCAGTGAGATATGCAAATATGCATGACACACAAATTCTTTTTTTTTTTTTTTTCCTTAAACAAAAGCATTTAAGCTGAGGTTTTTGAACAGCTCCTGTCACAATAGATTTTGGCTTGCAGTCTCTCAGCATTACTATGAAAATAAGAGCAATAGACATGTAAAAGTTAACTATTTTCTTTCTTAAATATATATCTTAAATGTATTGAATTCCTAAATATGTTATTTGTTCTTAAATATAGCATACAAATTTAAAGTTACCTAAAAAAAAAATCAGTAGAACACGAATAAGCTCCATACAATATGTTTTGCATTTAGTACTTATTCAGAAGGCAGAATTAACAGAGTTGTAGTTGTCTCCAATACTGACACACAAATACTTTTGCACTTGATAACGAGCTTCAACATTTGCAATGATTTTTTTTCTCATACTGAATTAATTTGAATTTTTTTTTTGCTTCGAAAATAGAAAACAAAATAACCACTGAGGATGTTAATATTTTCAAAATAAACTAAAATAAAACTAGTTAATTACCTCACTTCTCAAACAGCCGCACCGAGTCTGGGAAATCAGTAAAAACTGTAGCAAAAATATATGCTGTGCCCTTTTAATGTTATGTCTGTATTTAATTTAACCCTTGTTAGTAACTGATGTGTCTTGTTCTGCCCTTGCTCATTCAATACAGAAGAACTTAGGGGCAGGATGCAGGGGTACATGTGTGATTTAATTCCATGACAGTGATGAAGGCACCTTGAGAAACATTTCGTAAGGTTGTTCTCAGAGATTGGTTCATTTGCCTGTACAATTGTCAGAGCTCTAGTAGCATGTTTTTCAGCTTACCTGCACTTATGGAGGCAATGTATCTCTCAAATCTTATATCTAAAATACTTCACTGTGATTAATTTCGAATGCAGAAATAGCCTCCTGGTTCATAGAATAAATTCCGTTTGTTATTAGCTGATATTACTAGCAGATATGCAAGTATTCCAAAATGGTTGTTTCAGTCCATAAACCCCTGCGAAACTAAGAATCTGTTGAAGCCAGAGTCTATCACTCAGCCTTTACTTCTGAGGACCTTCAAGATTCACTGGCAACATGAACACAATACAGCCCTGAGGCACACATGGATATGGATGCAGCATGACACACAGGTCAAAAGAGCCAAGGGGCAATGAGGCCCAGGGCAGAAAAACATGCTTGTGAGCTTGTGCTTGTGATGCTCTGGCACAGAACTCAAGTGATGACCCATCCTCTGGGTAGCCAAGAGTGAGGCTGCTCAGGGGAGAGCATCCCACTCATCAAACAAGGCAGGATTTCAATAGAAGAAAAGGTACACAGTGGTGTAATGAAACAATGGAATTAAGAATTTATTCAGTGTTTGAATTCTTCTTGTTACAGACTAGGTAACATCCATAGAATGCTTGTTACTAGCCTGCCATATCATATTGCTTGACTGTACAGCGTTTGGTACCTTCTCTTGTTACTAGTTGGGTCCACCTACCTTCACTTGGAGACTGCAGGCTGTTAGCAAATCTACACACACACTAGGAGACAACACTTGCATATTTTTAGCTGCATGCACTCAAAATAATGAAAAACAGAGCTATTACCTATTTTCTGCTATTCAGACTGCTTAGCAGCTCAGGTGACTAAAAGGTTTAAAGGTCTTTGATAATCACAAGAGCTAGAGGTTTTTTGTTTTGTTGTGGTTGCTTGTTGTTTTGTTTTTTAAATCCAGAGTAGGTAGTTATTTAGACAACAATCATATTTCAAAGAGCAGGTCAGCGAGGTGAGGTGCTTAATAATTCTCACCTGTATGTGCAGACGTGAGCTGTCACTCAGAGGCACAACACAGCTCTCCCTCTGGGCAGCTGGGGGTGGCCTTAGGGCTTTCAGCCTTCTTCTGAGGTGCAGAACATCCGTTCAGGGAAGAGGTCCCACAGAGGCAGTTTTCTATAAGTGCAGTAGGATGAACTGGCTATTGACTGGTTAACTCAGTGCTGCCCAGTTGACAGCTTTCTATCTTTCCCTAAACAAGAAAAATTATAAAGAAACCTGGTCATAAATGCCAGCTTCTGTATTAGGACTCCAAAATAAAGCCTATGCTTCTGTTTTTGTTAAAAACTGGGCATATGATAGCAAGTTCATGGGCTTAAGATGCTCTAAAGACATACTCTGAGGTACATTTATTAAGCTCTACACTGGGCCTGCCAATAGCAACCTAACAGTTCTTCAGGAAGACAACAGATTTGGGAACTCAAAATCCTAAAAATCTCTTAAAATCCTCACCAAAAATGAGCCTTTAAGTATTGACTCCCTGAGGAGTTCCTTGTAGCTGATTGAATGCTGAAAGCTCAGTGTAATGTGTACTAAAAAACCATATTCCAAGTCAGTAACCACACTGATAAGAAGAGCAGGTTAACATGACGTGACCGCTTTTCCTGCAAGATGCAGACAGTGTAGCAACCAGCTGCTTTGTAGTGTGTTATTCCTTATGTGGTAAGATCAGAGCTAGCTCAGATTCACAGTTTATTCCTGCATGAAACAATGACATTTAAAAGTGCGATATTGTCACAAGTAAGAAAGATTGGTATTTAAACATTAACAGAACCATTTTCCTTTTCAGAAACATTCAGATTTGAAAACATTGTTTTCTAGTTGCAATATCACCATAGCTTATTATTTCCATATTCTGGTTATCAAGGTAAAAATTAAGCACTTAAATCCTATAAATACATCAGTCTTGATTATTTCTCTTACTTTCAGATTCATCAGTTTATGTGTAAGTTTCAATACCAAAATTCTAGTGTGTAAAACTGCTTCCAGGGAGAGTTTTCAAATGATGTGATATTATTTTATCTTATAAATTATGTTACCAAAGAAACATGATCAGCTAGTGAAATCTCAGTCTCATCTGATAAAAGTTTTTCAATTGTGGTTCGTTACCAAATTCTTATGAAAACATCCAAAAGCTTTCCACATAACGTGCTTCAAGAAGTGGATTAGTTTGGGGTACCAGTGTGGTCGGGATGTGGGGTGGCACTTGGCAGCCACAACTAGAGCCTGATTTTGTATCAAGTACTGTTTATCTACTTGTGTTATCAGAGCCTGGCAGTCTCTGCCCTTTGGACAGCGGATCAACATGACGCCTGGGAGACAAACATCTGTCCTGTCTCAATATAGGCTGAGAAATCCATCAGGAAAGGATACTCCCTCTTCATTGCCTGTGTCTTCCAGATGGTGCCAGAATGGGCTTTCGGGAGGGTAGAAATTCAGTCCCTGTATCTTCAGGGTGACACAAGGGAATGTTGCCCAGCAGAGCAGCCGGTTTTACAGCACGTAGATTAATCTCCTCACGTTTTAAGTAGCTTTGGTGGCTACCACCATTTTCGCACCTCAGCGGGCCCCGCCTCAAGCCCTTCGCTGCTCGTCAGAAGGGCAGCTCACAACCCACCGTAACGCTTCCCCGGCCTTCTCTGATGTGGACGTTCAGAACAACCGCAACACTTCACAAAAAAAAAAAAAAAAAAAAAAAGGATAACGCAGAAATACTTTTTGGAGAAAAAACTATTTATTTATTTATTGTCACAGAGCGTTACGTTTCTCTTCCCGACGCCTCCCCGCCCTCGGCGCCCCTCGCTGTGCAACTTGCAAGGGGCCGAACGCAGCCGGGACCCCCAGGCCGTCCCTCGGCGGCGTTGCAGTCCCGAACCCGGCAACGGCTGCAGTCCCCGCAGCACCGCAGCTCGCCCGAAGAACTGCCGGTCCCCTCCTCTCTTCCGCGGCCTGCCCCGCTTATTAGCCCGCGCGAGAGGCCGGGCGGAGGCAGGCCCGGCCGCCTCAGCCCCCGCCCCTCTCGTCGCCGCGTCCCATTCATCCCAGCCCCTTCCTCTGCGCTCCTTCACGGCCGCCGCTCGGCCCGGCCGCCCCTCCCGCCTTCTCCGCCGCGCGGCACGCCGCCAGCCCGGCAGCGGGGAGGGCCCTTCCAGCCGCAGCCATGGCTGCCGAGGGGGTGGACGAACGCTCCCCGCTGCTCTCCGCGCCCAGCTCCGGCAATGTCACCCCCACCGCGCCGCCCTATCTGCCGGACAGCAGCCCCCGAGGTAAGGGCCGGCGGGGAGGGAAGGCGGGCGGGGGGCCGGGGCGGGGGGCCGGGGCGGGGGGCCGGGGCGGGGGGCCGGGGCGGGGGGCCGAGCCGCGGAGCCGCCGCGCGGCCTTTGTCGGAGGACGGCGCGATATGGAGCCGGTAGGCCGTGCTCGGATCCGTGCTCGATGGTCCGCCTCGGAAATAATGGGGAGAATGGTTGGCAGCGGCAGAACAGGTCGGAGCCGGTCTGCAGCGTGACTCGAGCGCGGGTCGGAGCCTGCGAGGTAATTGCGGGGCTTAAATCAGCTCTGGCATTAATTAGGAGAGGGATTAAGCAGGAGACGCTTAGCGCTGAATAGCTAAATTCGGTACGGCGAGGTGCGCGGATCTGCAGCGTCCGTCGGGCGGGAGGAATGAAGTGTGTGGAGCTCTGCTCCATCTCTGGCTGGGGGGGGGCCGAGCTCTGCATCCGGAGATGAGCAGGGGAGGGAAGGGGAGGGGGCTGCCGCTGCGCTGCCCTTGCCAGCGCATCTCAAGGCCGTGGCTGCCTGCTCTGCGTTCCCAAAGCGAGGCCCGTACCGCAGCCACCGACCTGTAATGGAATGGGGTTAACTTCTGTCGACTTACGGAAATTACCTTGTTGATCGATACTGAGTCATAGGTTGAACGTTTTTACTTGCAAAGCAAAAATCGGAAGGCTTAGAAGGTACATTAATAGGTGTTTTCTTTTCTTTTTAATCCAGTCACGTGTTTCACAGCAGAAATCAAAGGAGGAAAGAAAAAAAAAAAAAAAAAGAAAAAGCTGAGACTTAAGGCTAAATGAGATTAGTGTAGCTTTCCTAGCAGCAGCCTTTAAAATGTGAGATTGGTTCTCAGTGGCTCTGCTGCATTGGCCATGTCTGGGGATTTCCATAGAACTGTAGATACAGCATGCACGTACAAGAAGGCTACAAATAAGCATCTGAGTGCTTCAGCACTTCAACCAGTGGGTAGCTGGGTTTCTTTGCTTTGACATGAAAATGTCTTTTTGCTGGTGCTGTGGCTGTTGTGTCCATTTGCACAGACTGTGAGCAGACCAAAAAAAAAAAACCAAAACAGATGGGCTTTTTAATATTTCTGCAATCAAATTGGGCTGCCAATTGAAGCTTTACTGTATGAGCAATCCGGAAATCCACCTTCTTCTAAATTCTACTCTGTTTTTATTCTTTAGAGTCCTTTTTCTGTATCTATTACTTTGAAATACATTTCACTCTATTAGAAACACACTTTAAAAAAAAAAACCAACAAAACAAAACTCAACAAGTCTTTATATACTTCTTAGTTAAGGAAAGTGCATCAGGTCAGGGACTCCTACTTGATCCCTGGATAGAATGCAGAGCTGGGCACTAGTTGGGCCCCAGGAGCTGTGTGCTGCTGCAGCTCCTGCTGACCAGTTTGGCAGCAGTGGGAGGGTGTGGCACTGGAGATAAGCAGCTTTTTTTCAGAAGTGGGGTGGAATCAAATACATTTGCTATTTAGAGGAACCTCTGAAGAAGTGTAGAGTATCTTGTTTAATGGCTCTGTGAGCAATTGAACCTAGAAGCACTTACATATACGCTGCTCTATAAAACCTAAAAAAATGTCTGCAAAACAAAGTCTTGCAAAGGTGCCACGTAGATCAAGTTGCACTAGCTTTCTTGCTCCATGCCTGTGTGTGTCAGCTATCCTTAGAGAAAGCAGCTCCCTTGTGTGGCGGCTACTGGGCAGCCTTTATCTCTTTCTCTAGCGCAAACAGAAGGAAGAGGCATTGTCCAGGTAATGGAATTTACTTTTAAACCATTTTTCTTCTGTGCTTCCTTCTCTGACATTACCTGAAGATGAGGTTGGAGAGATAGAGGAAGGAAGGAGAAGCCCTCAGTGCTCAATACTACCACCTGAATTACGCTAACAGATTCATCCCCATACGTGTAATTGCTGCTCCATGTGTAATCCTGAGCTTTAGAATGAGGCTGTGGTTTGGAAGTATCCTCCTCTGCCCTTGTTGGGCTGCAGCTGAGCCCCACCTGATCCTTTTGAGCATAAGCTAGTGGGCAGCTGGGTGCTACAGAATCCTGGCATTCCTTGTTCCCATGAGGGGAGCAAATGAGAGTTTTGGGATGTGGCCTCAGGGCACAGTTAAGAAACTTCATGTGGACAAGGGCTGGGACCATCACCTCTGCTCCCTGTAGTACAGTGATTATTCTGCTTTCTCCATCCTTGCCTACCAGTCCACTACATAGTTCACTAACTTTCTCCTTTTCCCTTCCCAGATTAGGATAAAGCTGTGTTTAGAAAATGTCAAATGCACTTCTCTTTGACCAAGGCAAGCTGCAGGCAGTTCCCTGTGGTTTCTGTGTTTTAGAATACTGAAGGAGGAAGTGCACAAGCACAAGAATCTTCTCAGGTTGTGTTTTCTTTGCTGCATCTTCTGTGAGGGTTGATGGGGGAATGCACTGTAGGTTAGTCATATACTTCATGGTAGGGGCACTCTGCTGCTCTTGTTGACCTCATTATTGTTGGGTGGTTATCATTAGAAGAAAAGCTGATAAACTGTTAACTGAAATGTCAGTAGCAGAATACTGACATGCAGTATAAATATATCCTGAAGCCTCTGGTGTGTGCATGAAATCTATCTACCAACCATTCATGCCCACCATGTGGACCTTTTGTGAACTGTTATTTAAGATAATAACCTGAAATTCAAGCTGGAAAAAAAAAAAAAAAAAAAAAAAGGTCATATCAAGTACATATGTTAATGTGCTTTGAAAGTGGCCAGCATTTTCATTAAGGGATATGGAGCAGCAAAGTCGAAGACAATTCTTTTATTTCCCTTTATAGCTTTCCTCTGAATATATTTCTCTTTACACTTAGTTCTGGAAGGCCTTGCTGGTTGTTGTTTAGGGAGCCTTTCTGAAGCTCTACTTTAAACACGGATGTTGCAGTGCCTCTGGCTTTCTGCTCTGTAGCAAATGCTGTTTGCTGCAGCACCACTCTGAGAAGCAGCCATTATTGCCTGCTATTGTAAATCTGCTGAGACAGCAGCACAGGAATGAAGAGGCAGCTTACCTGGAAGCCAAGCAGCTTCAGCGTGAGGTTGGAGAATTGGTTGTCTGTGTACTTGCACACCTTATCTGACCGGCTTTAAAAATTTAGAGTTGTTTCTTACAAAGAAGATACAGTCTTAAGGTCTTCCAGCATCACTGAAAGGCTGAAAGGCTTGGGGATACGTCTTTATTAGACAACAGAACGAATAATAATGTTCTTGTTTGCCTTTCCTTGATACAGTTGCCTTGTACCCAGCTGATAGGAGTTTAGTCTCACTGTAAATTGAAAGAGCCAAGCCAAGAAGATCTGCAATCTGGTTGCTGCTTTACAGAAGTAACCTGAGAGCTGGGATTGAACTGTAGTTTCTCGACGGGGGAGTTTGGTTTTCAGCATGCTGGGCGTGCATTCTGTTCTGTGGCTCTTTTTCCTTGTAACCAGGGAGTGTATCAGTTACTGGCTGCAGAAGCAGTTAAGCAGCCTGCTTACAGCCAAGAAACCCCCTCCAGCAACCTTAGCTCGGATTCTCACAGCCAAGGTCTTGCTCTCCAAGTTGTCCGCGTTTCAGAACTCTTTTCTGCTAGTGTGGTGATCTGCTGGGCTGAGATTGTTTGTGGATGGCAAAGTGTGGGATTTTTGTGTGTGCTGTGGGTGGATGAGTGTTTGTTTTGCTTTCATTTGTTTTCCTGTGTTTTGCTGCTGTTGTTTTTCATTTCTATTTCTTCCTTTGTGTGTGGTAGTCTTGTACTGAAAATACAGTATGACAACATTTCAAAATAAAGCTATCCCTGAAAATTTTCAGCTGGGTGCTACTAGACCTCAAACAGAGAAGAAAAATCAGAATAGAACTGAAAGTTACCTGTTTTGTCTTAAGTATGTTGGTTTCTGCAACCACAGCGTCAAAGCTGTAGGTATGAGGTTCTCTTTCTGAAGTTATGAAGCACTGCTGCACATAAGTGAATTTTGCCTCTCATCTGAAATAATTTAAGTCTGTTAGGTTCTATCCTGAGACTCTCAAGATGTCCACTTGTCTTCTGCTGCCTGCAAGTTAAATCAGGTATCAATCTGTATTGTTTGGGGACCAAGTAGCCAGGAGATAGTGCCAAGCAATGGTGAAGCTTAGAAGTTTTGTGATGATATTTTGGATCTTAATGTTTCTTAAATCCGTCCAGTTTACAACATTCACATTAAAATTGAGTGAACAAATGATCTGTGTATCCTTGCAGGCTTAAATTTACTACTTGGACTTGTTGCTTTTCATAGTAGCTAGAGATTTCTCCCCACCTCAGCAGATAATGCATTGTTTGTAAATGGGAAGAAAGCTGATATCCTGTTGCTGATATCCTGTTGCTTCTCTGAGGACTTTGTTGACCATTTGGATGTAATCATGATGTAATTTCTTGTTCAAAGCTGCAGAGTATTTTAAAGTAGTAGAAAAAGTTAAGTACTAAATGTGCCCATTCCTTCTCTGCTTACCTGAAGAGCTTGATGAAATAAAACCCAGTGGTATTACATGCCAAATAATTGTAGTAATAAGCTTGTGAGAGTTTATGTGGAATTGTTTTCATTCCATGAATTCTTAAACTGAGAAGGATCTGAACTGTTTCCTCTTTTCTTTGTTGTGTGTTTGAGGCTGGCAGTGCTGAAATTAGGCTTGCCACAAGAGCACAGGGCTGTTATGTTCTCTGTTATGTTGGCTTTTGGTCAGCAAAAATATTTAGGACCCTTAAAAGTAGAAGATCTGAAGGTTTTATTCATGTCAAGGCCATGTTGGATGGGGCCCTGGCAACTTGTTCTAGTGGTTGGCAACCCTGCACATGGCAGAGAGTTGGAACTGGATGGTCTTTAAGGTCTCTTCCAGCCCAAGGCACTCTGATTCTCTTGGTATAGTCCAGGTGTGCTTTTGCTGAACTTGAAAAAAGAAGCGTTTCCCATCCAAGATCTGACCTGGGCTCCTGCGGGATTTGTTGCCTGTTCCATTGCCTTTGCTTCTTTAGTTGCTAGGAATCCTGGCCTCTTAATTATGCCTGTAGTAGAATTTTCCTCTAGCATATTTGGTACTTTACTATAAATATTCATGGATGTTTCAGTCTCTTCAGTTGTTTACAAGTGCTGGATAAGCTCTTCTGTTTACCTGGCTATGACTATTCTGCTTATCATCAGAAGCCACCCTTGGATTCTAGTAATCCATGTTTCTCACTTGCCCCTTTCTTTACTACTAAGAGGCTGATTTGAAAATTAAATGGAATTGCTTAGATGAGACTCATCCAACGCACCTTTCTGGGGTGATTTATCTTGTTTTTGTGTTGCTGATATGCTCTATGTATAACTATGATGCTTGAAATGTTGCACAGATGATTTGGGGAGGGAGGGGGGAATGCAGAGTAAACTTAGATTTATCTAATGTTGATATCAATAATTAACTTCAACATTTTTTCCCCTTTTCTTTCTTTGAGGCTGTGGCTGTTGGTGGCTGTGCTTGCTGACAGTTTTAGGATGCTGTGTTTGGTTTTCCATCTGAGATTTCATGGTCTCTTGCAGCAGAGCTCCCACCTCCATATACTGCCATTGCGAGTCCAGATGCCAGTGGTGTTCCTGTCATAAACTGCCGTGTGTGCCAGTCACTAATCAATTTGGATGGCAAGCTACACCAACATGTTGTTAAGTGCACAGTTTGCAATGAAGCTACGGTAAAAATGGGTTTTTAGCATTTTCTTTCTGTGGTGGGAGGTTGAACTGTGCTGTCAGTAGAATTCATATCCTCACATACAAAGTGAGCTGCTGATGGATATCCCTGTTGAGGGCCTGTTGCTGCAAAGCTGCTGATGCACCTGGCGTGCAAGTTCAAGGTTTGCTGGTACAAGCAGTAAGACCCCAGGTCTTAGGCAGCCAGAGCAAATCTTCCCATTCTGTCCAGCCAGCTCCATGGGGTTTCATTCCAAGGCTGAGAACAAAAAGCAGAGGTTTCATTTAAGTAATGACTCCTCTCTAAAGGAGGGTAAAATGTTTTCTGAAACAATTTTTAGTGGGATGAAAAAGAAGGATTTAATTGTTTAAGCACTAGAAGATTCAAAGTAGCCAGCCCACACCTTTCCCTGGATGCTTTCTTGAAATGATTCTCAGTGAATTTGTGAACATGCTACCAAACCACTGTGCAAACTGAAGCACAACCATCCTGAAGCACAGGAGCTGTAGGTCCTATCCAATGCTGTGCTGATCACAGTCCTTTTTGCTCCTCCTCCCCATTTTCTTAATTGAAATCTTCAGCTTTTGAGCTTCTCTGTTTCTCTTATTTTTTTTTTTTTCTCCCCACCAGTTTTAGTTTGGAAACCTGATGCTGCAGCACTCCATAGCTACTGAGATCATTTGCTTAGGAAATGCTGAGTTGTATTTATTTTATAAAGTGAATTGTCCAGAGAAGACATAAATGTGTAGGAATGTTGTTTTTTTTCTTTCTCACTTGAAATGAAAAGTGAAAGTAGAGAAACTGCCACCAATACTCACCTTTCCTACTGATATGTATAATATTGCAGACCGCAGTAGAGTTCAGCTTCTGAAACTTGTGACTTTCTGTACGAAAGGGCTCCAGAAACTTGACTGTCAGGTTCAAGGAAGATGATTTCAATACGTTTTAAAATAGGCTGACAGTTCAGCTAAGTCTGCATATTCTGTTACTGAGAGCCAGACTTTGATTCTTTTGCCTCTGAATAAAGCCGTTATATCAGGCAAGGAGACTTAATGTGTTGACTGGTTTTTGAAAAATATACCGCTACTTAAGCTCATATTTAAAAAATAACTAAGCTGAAGACTTGAGTTCTTTATTGCTAAAATATGAAAGCTTGTTTCCCCCATTGGTTTGCAAAAATTCTTGTTACTGAAAATGCTCTTATGAGGAATTTTTAGTTCCTCTTTTTTTTTTTTTTTTTCCTATTTGGAAGGGAAAGGGAACCTTTTTTTTGATTTGCAAGTTTATTTCTGTAAGAGGAACTGTATTTCCTTGTTAAGAACTTGTCATGTAGCTCTGTTTTGTCATACTTCGATGAGGAAGAAAGTGAATTGTTATGACTTCTGATGTGTGTTCTGTGTTTTCTTTTTCTTTGTTTAGCCAATCAAAAACCCTCCTTCAGGGAAGAAGTATGTTAGATGTCAGTGTAATTGTCTGCTTATCTGTAAGGATACATCTCGGAAAATAGGCTGCCCAAGACCAAACTGGTAAGAGTAACATCCATAATCTCCTGAAAACTTAAATGCATGAGTTGCTCACTTTGTCTGATTCCGGGTGGGAACTTCTGAAGAAAACAAGAGAGGTAGCAGTAGATTGGCTTCAATCTGGTACTCCCGTACTCCCTTCTTTGGTTTGCTGAGTTTTCAATTTCTTACCTTTCAACTTTAACTTACACATTGTTTAGAGTGGAAAGAAATGTGATTGCTGCAATGAACATTCTTACAGAGATAGGAGTGTTTCATTTCAAGTATTGCAGCCATAATAAGGTGGAAACTGAGATGGAAGTTGGATCTGCAGATATTAGAGTGTAGACTCCACCACACTGAGTGCCCTAGTCACCAGTCTGCTGGCTCTTCTGGTTTTGAATCATACTTTTTGACCTTGTTTCTTTTCTCTTTGTTTTTTTTTTTTTTGTTTTTGTTTTTCCTCCTGGCTGCTATGGCACTGGGGAAAATTTCACTGAAGTCACAGAGCTTTTTGTAGAGTTCATGGGATACTTCAACTGTAATATGTCATGTGTTTAGTAACTGGGCCAGGTTACTAAACAGGTTATCAGAAGGTCTCCAGTCTTGCTGAACTACTTCCTGAAAGCATATCTCAGCAGTTTTGCTAAGATAGTCTTGGTACTTGTCTTATTAGAAGATGAGCTAAACTGGAGTAATTTGAAGCAGTTGAGGAGTACGCCCTAAATGGAAGGCTTCTAGTTTGAAGGGAGGCCATCCAGCCTGCAATTTTGGTTGCATAAGAGAAGGCATGCATTACAAGTTAAATAATGCTTTCATCTTTCCTTTTCTGTTTTCATGCTAGGAAGTCTAATTCTTGTTAGTTAATTTGGATACTGTAATTTTGGATGGATACATTGTATAACAAGTTGGAAATACACTGAGCATAAAAGCAAATACTAACTTTGTTAAGGTAAATTGATGGTGTTTAGTCAGACTAGGGTGGTTTCTTCTGATTCTCTCTATTTGAATAGTATTTTTACTACAGGGATGCAGAGATGCTGCTTATGTTGACTTGTTTTTTGGTAGTGGGAAGATGCAGAATCTGACTTGGAAAGAAAAATTAGATTATGAAAGAGTAAAGACTCTTTCAACATGCTTCACGTAGGCATGTACATTCCAATTCACAGGCATGCTCAGCCCAGTTATTAAGATTTCTTTTTCCTGAGGAGTGTTTCTACCATATGATAGCAAGTCTTTGATCTCTACAGGGTTCTGGCTTGCATGCCAGATGTTTTCAGAATTGACAGGGGCATCACTTTAGAAGAAGTTCAAAATTGTCTGAATCATCTGTTTGGGGAAAAAAAATATATATATAGTTTGAAGGGGCAATGCTATGGTAGTGACTGACTGAACTAATTGTTTCAGTGCATCACCCTTTTCTTTTGTGAGCTTAATTACATATACATGTAATGTTCTTAATACAGTAGACGCATCATTACTCTTGGTCCAGTAATGCTGATCCCAGAAGAGCAGCCAGCTCAGCCTGCCTTGCCAGTTCAACCAGATGGAACTAGAGTGGTGTGTGGGCACTGTGGAAATACTTTCCTTGTAAGTAAAGCACCAGATTCTCCTTCTCACTGAAGTGTGCCATTGGTCAGGCTATTGTAAGCATTTCTAAGAGCATATTGCCTTGCTTTGTGGCATCTTGAAGGAAGTAAAGCTGCTTCTGTGCTCATGTTGCTATGAACATATTTGGTTATTTCTACATTCATTTCAATAAAATATTTATTGGTTTTTCTCTGCCTGCATCAACAAAGCCCAAAGCCACTGTTACAGCTCAAGTGTGAGAGCGGACAGTGCTGGAAAAGGAACTTACATATCTGTTCTATTTGGACTTGCAATGATGGTTGCATTCTGCAGTGGCTAAGGTGACTTAGTTTCTGCTGTTGCTCCATGGGATTCTGAATGCTGTTCATTGGAGCACTTTACCATCAGGTTGTCCATCAGTTAAGATGTAGAGATTGGTATATATCTAAGGATGAAAATTCTTCCCACTTGATGAAAGGATGCTAGGTAATCTTTTGCTGCCAAGGCGTCTTTTCTTTTATATGAATAAGGGTCTAGTGTACTTGAATTTTGATTTAGAATCGTAGAATCACCAAGGTTGAAAAAGACCTAAAAGATCATCCAGTCCAACTGTTCACTTATTACCAATAGGTGATTTGAGAACAGCTTCTGCTGTAAGTAAGGTTTAACTTTGTTATCTAGCAGTGCTAAAATATTTATCAAGTTTCTTAATAATGGCAAATGGCTGAGATGAGTGATAAAGCCAAATGACCTACAGCATCACTGGAGAATTATGTTCCTGAAACAAAGAACTGTAAGGTACATAAGGGCCAGAGAATCCTCAAATGCATTTCATGAAAGCAAAAAGGAAGCTCAGAAGGTGGTGCTTTGTGTGGATTGTTATCTGCAGTGAGATAAATGTTTGCTTGTGATGGGATCTGCAACAGAATAAACTTGTTCCCTGATCTAGATCAATTACATGTATAATAATGTCTTAACTACTGTGATAGATAAAGAATGCAAGGAGCGAGATATCTCTTCCAACTTCTGCTTTTTAAAGGAGATATTTGATTGTAAATTTGCAAGTGATGGAATAGCTGAGAAACCATTTAGATTCTGGATACATTCTTTTGTTGATTCTGGCCCCTGTATTAAAAAACATGTTTTTAATACTATTTTAAACCCTGCTGAATAACAATAGTCTGTAACTAGAGAGAACTGGAGTGGGTTTTCTGTTTTGTTTTTTAATGCAAGTCTGAATGTGAGCTTAATTACTTAGAGCATTTTATGCAATATACAAATAATGTTACTAACAGAAAGTGAATGGATCTATGGAAGAAAAAGGCCATTTCAAGTATGTATTTTAAACTAGGAGTATTTCACTGAAGGATGCCTTCTCTTGTAGTCACTTTTTTAGCATAGCATGTTAACAAACTTAGATACATGCATGGATGTTGCAGTCTGATACAGGCCATTTTGTAATGCAGTTAAGTAGTTTAGAACTACTGTTTAAAAACCTACAGGTGAAAGTAAATCTGTAAAAGAGTTAACAAAACTACTAAGTTTTGTTAACAGAGAAGAAATCTCTACTATGTAATTCAATCACTTTTTTAATTATTGTTAGGGAGAGTCAATGTTATGAAATAAGAATTTTTACTAAATTGTTGGCCTAACTTTTGAGTGCTCTCATCAGCATTTATTGGTCCTCTGTCTTTTTTCTTTAAGTGCAAGCCAAGTTAATTCTGTAGTTTATGCTCTGAACTTCTTTAGGTGAAATTCTGCTGTGAAAAAGTAGGAAAACATAAGGAGGAAAAAATACAGAAGACTAGTTTTGCCCGTAACGACCAGATTATGCATTAAAAAGCTCAGATTGGTAATTCAGATTTAGTGCATGTGACTTCATGTCTGATGGCTCCTTTAGTGAACTGCATCATTCAGAACTTTGAAGTTGTATCTGATTTGCACAGTCCGTTTAAAAAAAAAAACCCTCAAAATCATTAGAAATGTATACTTTATATTCTCTTAATGATGAATTATTGTGAAGCTGAACCTTTTTCTTGCTGTATGCAGCTTTCCTAGAACTCTTTGCTTCTATCTTTTTCTGTTGTTAAGTTCACAGTTCTACACACACATTTTTTTTAGCTAGGTAAACTCAGGAAATAGTTCTGTGTTCACTCCCAACCCCAAGCAAATAATTGTAGCTGTGCTTTAGCAGGTCTGGAAACTGGAGTTTTGTGGAGGTATTTCTGCACTTATCTCTTCATTGTGAAGCAAATATGTAACACTAGCTTCATCTCAGTAAGGTATCTCCTTTGCTTCACTGGGCAGTTAGATAGCTCACCCCCCCCCCCGCCTCCCTCAAAGAAAAGGCAAAGCTAGAATGCCTGGGGTGAAAATGTCAAATGGTCATTTGCATGTTCTGTGTTATCTTCTAAAAGTTTCAAATTACCTCTTCTCAAAGAGTTTATTTTTGCCATATAAAAGCATATTTATGGGGTGTGATTCCAAGTCAAGTGATCCTTTTAACTTAGAAGCATGCTTGACACTATGCAGCACCCTTGAGTTTCTCAGCTGGGAAAGTAACTTAATGGCTGTTACTATAGCTGAACTGCAGTACTTACTTGCATTTTGTTCTTCAGATTATCTTAATTTTTTTTCCCCCCATGGATAAGATAGTAGGAGCCATTTCTGTGTTTTCTGTTTCTGGTAGATCTGAAATTTGGACAAATGTGAAAAAAGTGGTAAAATTGAAACAGAGGGCAGAACAGGATTTAACCATCCTGCTAAAGAAGTCTAATCTTGTTGTGGGCCTTGTTTGAGAGCTTCTGGACTTGGGCTGTTGGCTGAGTTAAAGCTCGTCCTGGCAGTAAGCTATTCCTACCCTCTGCCAGTTGCTGCTGTTGGTTTGTGTCTGTTGGATCAGGCTGAGTTCTCATTGCAGTCTTCCAGTACCTAAAGGGAGCCTACAAACAGGAAGGGAATCGTCTCCTCAAAAGAGTAGATAACAGCAGGACAAGGGAAATGGTTTAAAGTTGAAGGAGGGAAGATTTAGGTTGGATATCAGGGAAGCTCTTTACCAAGAGAGTGGTGAGGTGCTGGAACAGGCTGCTTAGAGAGTATAGAGTCTCCCTACCCCAGAGATATTCCAAATTCACCTGGATGCTTTCCTCTGTCGCTTACTGTAGGGATCCTGCTTAATGTGGGGGGTTGGACCCAATGATCTCCAGAAGTTCCTTCCAACCCCTATGATTCTGTGACATAGTGGCAGGCAAGAGGGGTTGTGGACCCCCCCCCCCCCCCCCCCAACTTCTGGTGTGCTTTCAGAGACCTTCAGGGTTGAAGAGCTATGGAAGGCATGGGCTGGAAGTTAACACCAGTCCCTTTGTCACAGAATCACAGAATCACAGAATCACCTGGGTTGGAAGGGACCTCAAGGATCATGTAGTTCCAACCCCCCTGCCTAGCAGGGCCACCAAACATCCACATTCAGATCAGGTAGCCCAGGACCCCGTCCAACCTGGCCTTGAACACGTCCAAGGACGGGGCATCCACAACCTCCCTGGGCAGCCTGTTCCAGGGCCTAACTACTCTCCTTGTGAAGAACTTCCCCCTAACATCCAACCTAAATCTTTCCTCCTTCAACTTTGATCCATTTCCCCTAGTCCTGCTGTTGTCAGCCCTTCTGAAGAGTTTACTCCCCTCCTGGGTGTAGGTTCCCTTCAGGTATTGATAGGCTGCAATGAGGTCGCCCCGCAGCCTTCTCTTCTCCAGGCTGAACAAGCCCAACTCCCTCAGCCTGTCCTCATAGGGGAGGTGCTCCAGCCCCCTGATCATCTTAGTCGCCCTCCTCTGGACCCTTTCCAAGATCTCTATGTCTTTCTTGTACTGAGGGCTCCACACCTGGACACAGTACTCCAGATGGGGCCTCACAAGAGCCGAGTAGAGAGGGACAATCACCTCCCTGTCCCTGCTGTCCCTTGGGTACTATCAGTTTTATGTGGTAAAACGAATCAAATATAAAAGTAACTTTGAAACAAATTAATTTAAGAAGCAATAAAAAAATTGAAACATTTCTTAGTGTACTGAAGAATTTATATTTGTGGAAGAGTCTTGCTTTCCAAAAACAACTTGTGGTGGGAATGGGGGACTTTTTGATAGGAGCAGCTGTACATAGTTGTTTAAGTCAATTATAAGAACACACTCATTCTGTCTTGTCCTGAGAATTGTTCTAAGCTCAGAAGGTAGAAGAAGGTTTGTGATATTCTGGTAATCCCACTGACTGATGTCTCATTTTGTCTCCAGTTGAAATAAGCAAGAGCTTTCTGTAATTTTGAACTAATTGGTGATTTGGGTTATTGTCTGTGTTGCTTTTGTTGTGAGAGATGGAAAAGACAGTTTTGTATCTGTGGAACTGTGTTATATTTAAATATGTTTTTTATTGTGGAATTGTTTTGTAATATCTATGGATGTTTAATTCTCATGCAACCGACTTGAAATTTTATTAAGCACATGAAACAGCATCAGGTACTTTCAGTAAAAAAATATTATCAGTGCTTTTGTTATTTCCATCCAAATTTGATACACAAATGCATTTGAGTTTGTATCAGTTAATGACTATGGTTAATAATTAATCGGGAATCTTTAATAAATCCATAGAAATATCATTAATGAGTAACTTTAGAAATGGAGTTGCCTACTGTGGGATAAAAGCAGTGATGTTGAATTACAGATATGTAAGTCCTGGATTTAGACTTGCTTCTATTTCTGGAGCTACGGTGTGAGTAGCTGAAAGAACATCTCCAGAGAGGCCTGTCTCCATCTCTGGCACTGACAGATGAGCCTTATCCCACAGTTACTGTGTACAGCCAATGGAAATAAAGCAGTCTTTGGCATGGGTGCGTGCAAACAGCAAATTTGCTCCTCTGGCAAAAATGTGGAAATAGCATTAAGGCTCAAACACGTGTTGTTCAGCTAAAGGAAGTAGACAGAAGCTTTCCCTTTGTACTTCAAGGGACCCAACCAAACTGGTAGATCAGTTTGGC